TAATAAGTGGTTATTTGGGTTAGTACTGGCTTTCTACTGCCATTCTCCTTTGACCTCTGGAGGACTGCTGATCATGATCAACTACCAGAAGTTTTCTCTATTTTGAATTATCCATCCATCCATTCGCTTCCGCTTATCCTTATCAAGGTTGCGCAGGGCTGGAGCCTGACCCGGCTACCATAAGGCAAGAGGTGGGGTACACCCTGGACAGCCAACGCAGAGAGACAGACAACCATGTAGGCAATTTAGAATAACCAATTAACTTAACCCCACTAACTGCATGTCTTTGAACTGCGGGAGGAAGTGGGGTACCTGAAGAGAACCCCCGCAGACAAGGGGAGAACACGCAAACTCTACTGCTAGATGGTGGATTTGAACCCAGGTCTATTTTGGGCCATTCTCTGTAAACCCTAGAGATGGTTGTGTGGGTAAATCCCAGTTAATCAGCAGTTTATGAAATAGTCAGACCAGCCGGTCTGGCACCATGTCACCTTGTTTCAACTTCAGCACATTGTCTTGACTTGTTACGTGCCTAAATGCATTAAGCTGCTGCCATGTGATTGGCTGGTTACATATTTGCATTCATGAGCAGTTGAACAGGTGTACCTAAGAAAGGAGCCAGGAATGAACATATTAATTTCTGGTGATGTGCGATACCACTGATTTCCTTTCCGATCCGATACCAAGTAAAATTCAGGGTGGTATCGACGATACTGATACGATACCGATACCCTATACAAAAACGTATTTAATTTATTCTATCTCAAATTATAGCGTCATAATGATTACAGGACATCAGATTACTTGTTCTTATCACTTAATAATGCAGAGTTCATCATATAGAAATAAAAAACTGAAGTTTTGCACTATTTGAACACCTTGCCTGCCTGCAGCACTAAAGGACTCAGTGAGAGACATCTGTCTCGCCCTAGCAGCACCTGTCCACTCCTCCTCTTCAGTTCGCCTCAACATACGCTCGTCATATTCTGTGATATGATTTACTCTGAGGTGTTTGACAAGGTCAGTGGTGTTGGCACAACACCTCACTTTTTTGCCACATGTATCGTAAACCATGCCTCAGCTGTTTGTGGAGGTAAAATACGTCCGCACATGACTCCAAGTACACTCAGCCATTCTTGTGAGTGCGCACGCCAAGGGGCTGCGACACATTTATACAGCCATATTTCACACATGACTATGAAACCCGGAAGAGGAAGTTGTTCCTTCGAATGTAGACAATCCGAATGTTATAGTTTCTTTCCACTGTGTTCCTGTTAATGATAAACTACAAATTTACCCTAAATTACTAAAATATCGATATTTTAATGTGAGAATCGATTCTAGAACATAAATGACTGGTATCGGAGGAATCGATATTTCAGGATCGATCCGCACATCACTATTAATTTCACATTTTCAGAGGCTGAATCCAGCAAATATGTGTCATCAGTAATGGAAGAACTTTAAATTCAAGGCATGATATACTAATTAAACTTCAATGCTACCAAATAATGCAAGTACATATTAAATAATTTAAAAATCCATTTATTATTTCAGATTTTTTCCGCCTTTGTTATACAAAGATGTTAAATAACTTAAATACATTCTTACCAGTCATTTGTGATCTGTTTAAACCTACAAGCTATACACATGAGGTAGAGGAAAATAATTTAGAGTTCCCATAAGACATGAATAAGTGAACATGGACAAAGCTTTGTTGGTGTAATATTATCACAAAGGACAATACATAGCTGGTGTATTTTATCTTTGTTTTACAAGCACAGCACAAATCCTAACAAAAAGTACATGTACATGTAAAGTGACCCTAAGGTGAACAAGTCCATACTGATCATCAGTCCTTTCACAAAACTGCTGATTATACAAGATTAAGTTCTATAAAATATTCTTGATAACTGTGATTTTCTTTGCATGCTTTCAGAAACTGCATTACCGCGAGTGAATTAAACCAACTAAAAGTGAGCTGATTTGAATTTTGTTAGGATTTGTTAGTGCTTAGATAACAATCTTGAGATATAAAATGAAATATGTTGATAGTATACACTGCTTCTCGAAGCCTCCACCCCAAAAGGAACAAACACCCAAAAAGAAAACAGAGTAAAAAATACAGGATATAAAATCAATTTAGACTTTGAAGTTATTTACACTAAACACATGCTCATAATATATTTAAAAAATAATTTATCTTTCTTTTCTCTACAACATAGAATTTTGTACATGATCCACTGATGACTAAACAGTGCAGTGTTGGATTTGAGAGCGTGGATGACTGTGACATCTAAAAACCCAGCGGACTGCTGCATCATGCTCCTCTTTTCTGGACTAAATTTCTACGCCTATGTACAATCTATAAACAAACAAAAATGCAATCTGTTTGCATTTCCTGTCGTGTCTGTTTTGAATCCGTTCAATGGTAGAGAACCTCACCATGTTTGGGCTGAGGCGGAGTGTGTGGCGCAAACACACACCAGAAGCTGTGGCAAGCAGGCATTTGTGCTTTGCGTCTCTGCATAGCTATTATGGTTTCCATGTAGCGTGCAAAGTTCTATGTATATGTTTTGACCAGTCTTTATTTGGCATGCCATCTCATATCAAAATGCTTGGAATTCATCTCCTTTAGACAAATAAGCCATGCACGGTTCTCTTCTTATCAGAGGGAGCTTTGATTTAAATCACTGTGAAACTCCTTTTTAAAAATGCACTGTGCAGCATTGATGATTGAAATCCGTAATCATCTCGTTTCAGCAGCTGTATGCCGTTTCAGCAAATGCTTCACTCATTTATTTAATTTCAATTTGTGTTTCAGATGCTTGTGAGAGTTGAACATGTGCCTCACTTTTGTCTCTATACCACAGGAGAAGAAACCTTTGCTATTTACATTTTTTAATAAAAAACAAGAAGAAAAAAAGATTCTGCACTGCACTGTATCCATAAATACAGATCTTTAAATACTTTAAAGGGCTTTTGGGCTTCAGTGCGTGAATGGTGCTATAATACAAAGCTGGGTCCCTCACTCAGTAGTTAATTCACACCAATCTAAAATATGGCCTATAAGGTCCTGTATTTGATAAAATATAATGTTTCTAAGCACTAAGTGCTGAGAATATGACAAAATTTTGTCTGCATTGTTTGTGTGCACAGAGGCATTTCTCATAAAACTGTAATGGAAACAATTTGCATGTTCTTCTTATCAGTCAGCTAGTTAGCTTTGCATAAACGCCGCAAACTTGGACACAGCGAGACTGAAATGTGCCCTAAGGTATCAAAAGCCACCTTTCAGTACCTTTAAGGTTCACTGATTAACAAGTTACATCCTGTCTGTTTAATATGTACAAAAAAGCGTAACAAAGACGAGGCGTGGTTTAACTTCCTGGATTAAACAAACAAGATATAGGAGGCCAAACAGTGAGTTTAGAGGTGCTGATGGGCAAATTTTGTTAAAAGTAGCAGTTTCCTCTGTTTCTTTATGATAGGCTAAGGAAAAACCAGACTGAAGTTTATTATTTCATACCACGCAGTACTTCCTGCAGTGTCAAACCGTCACTCTTGTATGGTGGGGTCAGCATGCTGCGTTGTGTTAACTGTGTCAAAAGGTGCTCAGCAATAAGATGAAAAGGTAAAGTTAACTTATAAAAACAACTTCACTGACTTCAGAAAGAAGACAGCCGATTAGTAAAACGTAGACATAAATTTGCGGAACAATTACACAAATATTAGTTTTATAATAGATCTTTATATTAGCTAAGAGGCTTGTGCTTTCATCTTCACTTGAACAAAAAGTCAGTCGCCCCATACTGTTTGAACTTCCACTGTACACACTGCGTGTCAATGTATTTCATATGGCTCAATCAAATTTGTGGAAGCAGAAGAGGAAGGAAGAATACGAAATGGCAGGGAGTTAAATTCCTCCAGTTCTCCACAGTTTTCTTTAGAACTACAAAGTAGATTTAAGCTTCACAAAGCTCTACACTTTTTGATCCGAGTCTCACGTGGGCCTTCTGCTGATCAAGAGATCACCTGTTGCTATGCTTTTGACTGTAATAACAAGGCCGCTGTCATCTCCACCTTGGATTCAGATGTTCTTTCTGGTTTAGTCAAACACATATAGTGGTTTAAGTTATTCCCTGAACACTGGCCGAGAATAGCCTAAACTGACTGGTTTAGTTATCTTCTGTTAATGTATGCACTAACAGCTTCATATTACAATATTACAAAAAAAGAAAAAATTAAAGATATTTTTGTTCCTCCTCATGAAGGAGTAGTCCCAAAGGATCTATAAATTATCCACAGAAAGATGTCAGACACAAGCGTGCTGCTTTCCAAAGGGCCTTGTCAACATGAATCAAAAAGAAAACTGAGCAAGAGCACACAAACAACAAAACATTTGTGTGGTTAGTGGTTTGTTTTAACATAGTTAGATAAGTGGCTTATATAATATCATTACAATATAACTGAATTTATGTACATATATATGCAAACACACAATGTGTGTGAGTGTAAATATGTGCGTGTAGAGTAATTCTTACACCCTGTCTTTTTCCTTTTTTTTTTCAGTTTCCGTATATGGTTTTGAATCGCCATAAAAAGTCGTCACTTAATTTTTCCGCTCCCCCCCCCTCGCTATCTACCTCATGTTCACATGCTTACAAATACTGTACACACGTAAAAATTGACAAACACACACACACACACACACTATTCCTCTTTGGGCAAAGCCCCAGAAATCAGTCTGTTGATGTCACTGTCCTTGTGTTGTATCCTCATTAACTGGGCGTTAATCGGTTTTCTTGTGAATTGATGACAAAGATTTTTGTTTTTCTTAAAGGAAAGTGAAAGCGTCTCTCTTCAAGGTAACGCTGTGATAAAGAGCTTGAGATGTTGACCCAGTTGTCTGAGAAAGTTTTTATTCTGCAGGACCTCTGAAACCCAACCCACAGAAATCCCTCAAAGTGCTTATTGCTTCTTGGCTCGCTCCTTTTTTGCTTGCAGAACGCTGCTCCGACACCGAAAGCAAAACTCTGCATGAGAAAAAAAAATGCTCCTCTTCAACACAACCACCTTCCTCAGACTGAAAGGGCTGAACGGTGCCCCGTTTACCCCTTGCAGGTGTAGACCTCCTCTCTCTGTGTGCACTGCTTGCATTCAACGTAGCAGCACCAGCGCACCTGGCATTGGCAAGGCCTGGTCACCTCCCTGCTTTGAGTGTTGTGGCCTCGCCCGCAACAGATAGCATCACAGTTTTTGTCCTTGTAGCATTTGCGGGCTGCGGTGCCCGGTGAATATTTGGTGGGTCTACAGAAACTGGGTGAGTCCTCGATGTGGAGCAAGTCCATAGTGCGGGGGATTTGATCGTTCAGGCCGGGCAGGGGCTGTTGTTGTTGCTGCTGCTGCTGCTGGTTGCGGCCCGTGGAGATCTCTCCCTCCCCGGTGGCCTCGTTGGTGGAGCTGCCGACCTTGACGGAGGTCTCGTAACGCTGCTTCAGCTGCTTGCCGATCTCATGGAAGGGCTGGAGCTGCCTCCAACAGGTCTGGACGGTGCAGGAGCCAGATACGCCGTGGCATTTGCAAGTGGTCTCCACTCCAGCCTTGATTACCTGGACCAGAGACAGAGCAATACTGTTAACCACTGAGAACCAGTGAAGGCACACAATGAAAGGTATGCAATTTAACAAGCTTTTGTTTAGCAAACAGAACTTGAAAGAGCCAATTCATTAAAGTATTCTCACAACTAGATGAACTGGGTGGAGTACGGCGGCTTGGAAAGGTTATAGACATATATTTTACATTCATTGCTCTCTTTCATATCATAATTAAAGGGGAAAAACTTCACTTATTGCTTGTGAACTAAAGGAGAACAATGGCGTCTGAGGCTTCTTGTATAAAAGGAAAAGTGAATTATAGTTTGTGGGAGGATTGATTTTGTTATAATAACCACAGATGAAATTTTGATTAAACAGTTGTGGTTATTATGATAAGTGAGGGGAGGTTATGGGTAAGAAGAAGCCACAAAACAATCCATTCAGTCAACTATGGGAACCCTTCATACCTCCTCCTGTACTGGGTACTTTACTAAAATGTGTTTTTTAAGCCCAGAGTTGATCAACCCAGCGCTATAGTGCGGTAATTTTGGCATAACCCAGAGCAAAGTCACGCAAACGTTTGGGAAGAGAAAGAATATCGAAGAAACCATTTTTTGTCTTACACAAAATCACACATAATTGCAAGTGAAACAGAGGAATTATCAGCTAAAGAGACCACAACACGTTACTTTAATATCACTTGACCCCCTAGCAGTCAGCCAGAGTTCATTTCTGCATCCACCACAATGTGTAAAGCAGAGTGTGTCCGCGAGAATCAATGACAATAACATATTGTCTTATACAGGGTTTGGAAACAATTTACAAATCTTTTCTCAGACTGTGAGAGAGATCGGGGAGCAGGAAGTGCATATTCATCACACCAGCAGGTCAAGAAAATTTGATAGGTCAGCCTTTAAAATGTCGGGGGGATGCAGAACCTCGCACATTCCAATTTTGTCCTCGGCGTGGGAATTCATCCTGAGCGAATGCGATACACCTCGCTACATGTGCAAATTATGAAAAGAAAAAAACAAAGAAAGAGCCAAAACAATGTTGTAAATCTTTTATCACAAATAAAATCTCCAAGGAGGCTGGATTTAGGAGAGCCAAGTTGAAAAGGAAGAGCTCGCATTCGTTTGGGGGAGAGTTTTATATCTGTTAATATTTGGGAAGTGTGCTTTAGCTGTAATTCATTTTGAAACCAAAATGAAAAAGGCCACAACAGGCACAAAGCACAGTAAAAGAAATATATTCCAGACCATTAGTTTGCTTTGGCTTGACATATTAGGAGCATTTATTCTGCTATTAAAAACACTTCCAAGATGAAAAACCCGTATTTGCTCACCACAAACAATCACTGAATTCTACCAGAGCACAAATGAGACTCTTAGCCTATCTAATCTGAGAGAGAAAACCAAATATTGACTAATGAACACTTTCAGATTTCACTAAAATTTACAGCAGCATTACTCTGGGTTTCTTTTCAACTTGTGTGTTGGATTTTTGAAACACTTCACAATTTTCAATTGATTTTGCTCTCCCAAAATGCCCCAGTTAACATCATCCAGGTGTAGGGAAGTTCAGGTCCCATCTGGTGATCCTAATTACATATTTGGAGACAGTTAAGATGGAGCAGTTTGAGTCAAACAGCAGCGCTGTAATGTTTAAACTCCAGTACAAAAGCAAAAGCCAAGATATGGAAATGCAGTGTATCCGGGATATGGCACAAAATGAATCGGTACTTCACATTGATGTTTGCCGACAAAAAGAACTCAGAGTATATTGTATTAATGCTATTTTCCCATCGTTTAAATGATTCATACAAGCAATTAGCAAACCTTTCTGTTTACATAATGTCTGTCTCGCCATATGAACTCTGACCCTCTTCAAACTGAAGTGTGTTTCCTAGTTAGATTCATGTGTATGGAATAACTCAAAGTCTGTAGAAATTGCAGCGTTAATAAAAGGCGAGTGAAGCTGACACTTTGGGTAAATATACTGCTATGAAATTAGAGTTTGATAAATCTTTCTTTTTCTTTGACTGTTACTCCTTAAAAGTTTTCCAACATCGCTGACATGTAGATGAATAACTGTCACAAATTAAAATGAAGTCGAATTTAATGTTTTCAATAAATTATTAGCTAATATTGTTGCTGTCACAGACCATCATATACCTCTAAGAGGCAACAATGTCGTAGAAGGAGTTGGAGATCTGAGATCAAAGCAGCAGATGTTGAGATATTTGCTTTTGTTGTGTCGGCTGACTTTTGGCTCGAAGCACGGGTCAAGCTCCAGAACGAATGAATCCCCCATTTCCCATGGTGCAGCTAGATCGCGTCATTGGTTAGACCAAGTAAGTAAATAGTGCTATCGGTCGGTACGTCATGACCATTTGACGCACTTACCTTCATGCCCACATTCGTATTGTGCATGTCCACACGTGCACGTAGATCCTTGTTCGAGCGTTTGCCCAGGAAGTCCTTGACAAACTTGTTTGCGTATTTGAGGTTGTCTCCGCAGCCTCCCCACTGCCACGCCTTACGGTTCTCCAGGTCGGGGGCCTCGTCGCATGTACAGCGCTCCATGCGTCCTGCGCTGCAAGCTTTGGCCATGGCATGAGTTAGACCCGCTGAGGAGATGGCGTACAAGAAGGCCGTCTCTTTAAATCCTAGAGAAGCCCGATGGAGAGTGGCAATTGGGAGACAGGAAAATAAAGGGTTTTCTAAAGAGTTGGCTCACTCACACATTAGGTTTTAAGTGCACAAGAATAAAATGCATATTCAAATGGGAAGAAAAGTAGTAATAATTACCTCTTTTTAATATGTTGGCTCGGTGGCGCCCCTCTAAGGTGCAGTTCCACCTCTCAAAGCGGAATTGGTACTGGCATTCTAGGGCGCTCATGGTGATGGCCTCTCTTAGAGTCTCCGCCACGCCCGGGTCTCGTCTGCACATCCTGCGCTGCTTCTTTTCTAGTTTGAGCCGGTCACACAGCTTGAAGTGGGCCCTGCCTATGCTCTCCTCTGGTAAAGAGTTCAGTGGCAGGACAGACAACGGTTCATTACCTGTCAACCTGGAAGAAAGCATCACAAGCCATTTGGAAACAGAAAGATACTGGGATTGTCTTGATAAAGTATTCAGACAGAACAACAGGATACTGACAAAGCTATACTGCATAAACAGCACAGGAAGCACAGCTGCTCACATAATGCTCAAAAGTTTGGTTAATGTTCAAATGAATTCAGCTGTTCAGTGGTTAATGTTCAGGGGAATTCAACATTTGCTGGAGATTGAGATCAACTCTCGGTGGAGGTGTGTCTGAGTAAAGAGCAAATTCTCTGCAGTGGTGGAAAAGTCAGGTTTACCATGTAATTCTTTTGAATTTTGGATACCTAAAAATCCCGTTGTAGAACAATGGAGTTATAATTAGCTTTTGTTTTAAAGCAAAGGAGAAACAAATTATACTGTTAGCATTTTTGTGAGTAGTTTTTATCCATGGGGAAATTTAAAAGAAACGGGGCACTTAATGTAAGAGTGCCTCTGGAGTACTTTCAAAAAAGAAAATGTACTCAGTAACTTTTTATTTCAGAAGCAGGGAAATCAATATCTCTGCCCCTTACAATGTAAGTACACAATATTATTAGTGGTGTGGGCTTTAAAAATATCTGTAGTTGTAATTAGTTTCTCCTCTCCTTTAAAACTGAAAAAAGGTTACTTACTATGTTTTTTTTACTGTAGTGACATTTTAAGTACCAGTAGGAACACAAGTCTTTGTACTGAAAATTGCAACCTATTCACAAAGATTTACATGGGCAACTGGACCGTAGGTTATGGGCTGTATATTGACGTTCTACCAAAGGTTCCTGAAATCAATTTTTTTTCCCATTTTACAGCAATAAACTTACAGCATCAGCTGCATACTGACCACTTTAATACTGCAGTACGAGGTTATAATGTGCAGATGACAAGGCATTCAGTTAGTGTGGGGACATTTTAAACATTTGTACTCTGTGATCGTGTCTGTCGTGTTACAGTAAAACAGTAGCCAGCAAATGGTTGGTTAAATATTTATACCAGATCCTTCAGATGGGTGGCAGGTTGTACCTCGCTGTACAGATTTAAACATGGCACACAGTATTGCTGCTGTCATTATAAAAAGTCTTATATATCGTATAAAAGTCTTTACATCTGAAAATCTAGACTTTCTGTAGGGGACATAAAACGTGGTGATCTTTTTAGTTCTGTGTTTCTGTCCCACCTCACTCTGGGCTAAACTCTCATTTATGATGTCATCAAGGGGTTTCACTTAGGGGCAGACTGGAACAGCAATTTGACTCCATCCCACGCCACTCTGTTCATGCAAATTGTAATCGAGTACTACCTGGACATCAGGCTTTTTACTACATAATTATTATGTCAAAAGATTATTGGACATCCACTTTGGAAACTGGAAAGTATGTTGGTGGTGAAAGTGTCGGTATCTACAAAGAAAAAAATGAAATAAAATAAACTCTACAAAAGAACAACAAGTTAATTCATGTGCTCTTTTGTATTATGTGATGTTGACATAATATCGTTATCTGATTTGACATAATGTCACGGTTATCATTAATTATGGTATGTAGCAAAACCCCGTCACTGAAACTGGCCCACTTATCTGGAATAAATGTTAACAACATTATAAACACAATAGGACCAACCAGCCAATCTCAACACTGAGGTTTTCAGGTATGCTAACAGTGCTCTCAAAATGCCCACAAAGAAAACCTTGAACTCTGCAGCTTTATTTTTTGACAAACAAAAGTATCAAACAAAATCCCCCGAAACTGAACTTAAGATACACCGCCATAAGAAGGGTGTGTGTTTAAGCTACAGTCCACCCAGACCCAGACCTTTTTTTTAACCTTTTATATTGAAGAACCTGTTACCTGTTAAGAAGCACTCCCTTGCAGAAAGCGAGAATGAGCAGATTCAAGTGCACATCTGTGCAAGTCTTTGGGGTGTGAACTCTGATGCTAAGCATGCTGTGGAGATGCATGCAGTCTGCGGGAGTCAAGGGTGTCTGAGAGGTCTTTCAACTCACTCCTGTTTGCTACATATAATGTAGCAAACTGTCAAGATGACTGTTCACAGTAGCCCAAAGTGGCCCTCAGGCTACTGGGAAATGGCACGGTGCTCCAGACAGCCAATGGTTAAAGTTAATCCCAGCGCTCTTGATGAAGCGAGTACAAGTTAGAAATTATATTTTTAAATAATGCTTAAACAAAATTTGTTGTTTATTATTACGCCCAGCAACATTTATGAATCAAACAAAGGCAGACCATCAGGAATGAGCTTAAGACTCTAAGAACAACTGCATAAATGAGGCACCTGTATTCATCCTACGGCTGCAAAGTACTTTAAATACAGCAAGTAAGAATTTCAATTCTAAACATGGTATGGAGAACATGTGGCAGACTTGCACTCCTTTCGTCAGTTTATTTAAGGGATGCATATATAAAACACACAAAGCGGGGACTGCCACATAGCTGGCAAAACCTATAACCAGCGTTCTGAGGTTGTGATGGAGAGCGCAGGGCATTACTTTCATAAACACACACGGGGGACATGACTGTCAGCCTGTGACCATTTTGGTCACACCAACTGACAGGACTGGCACCCTAGTTGTTCATTATGTGTAATTTCTGGCCTCCTTTACACTGTTAAAGTGAAACTGAAGAATAAATGGATTTACTGAACTCACAAAATGCACAAGCTCTCTGGCCTGTGTGCTTTTTGCAGCCGGACTTCAGACTTTTGAAGGATACTCGTGCAAGGAGCGACACAGTATTTATCAATGAGATTATTTATCAATGATCTGGACTTCTGGCATTCAGTGTAGGCTGAATTTTCCAGTGCACTAAGGATTACAGCTTGCACATGTCAACACCAAGGCACAACATCTGAAAAAGCATACTTGAGAGACAATGAAGAATTATTTTATTTTGAAAAGAGAGCAATCGGAACTGCATTTATTTTTTGGGCCAATGTTTGCTGCTTTCAGCTGTGATGACAAAACATATTTAGCATTTAAGATTAACACTTTAATCCTTCATATTTCCACTATCACAGCACTAATATACCAACAGTCATAAATTGTTGTCCATCCGTTCCTGGTTGCTAAAAGTATGCATACAGCCAAACCAATTAAAAGAAGTTCAACTTTATAACTGTGAAGCGTAACCGCAGCAAATGGAAACGTTGCCTCACAGTTTACTACAGCCAAGCAGTCTGAAAAGAAGATGGAAATAAATTCTGCAATATTTTTGTAAAGGTGCAGAGCACCTGCTCACTGTCTACACCTGGTTAGTTAATGTACCAGAAGCGATGAGCGCTGATTCGCATTACTCACATTTTAGACTTCTTTATTATTTTTCAGAGAATATTCTGTCACCACTCATGATCACTTGAGTCACGAACAGAAGGTCACAGGATTTATTCAACACAAGATTTGTTTTATTAAGTCCAATAACCGACTGAAATGTTTCCCCTCGAGTGCTCAATTTAATATCAGTGAACTTAATAGTTCACAGATGTTATTTGATATTTTTCTTTACAATAAATTCATAGTCTGGTTGAGAATCCGTGTAGTCAAATCAAAAAAGGAGTCCTCGGGGTTTGCTTTCAGAATGGGTCGAAAGGTTTTCTTTTTGCAAAGTGTGTTTGCCTATTCTTAACTTGTCTGACAGCAAGTTCAAATGGAAACCTGGCAAGCTGCGTCTTGACAGAGATCGCCCTCCCAACACACTTGGAGAATAAGAAAAATGTATGGTTTGAGGCGTACGCAGCGAGGCAAAGGGTGTCTTTCTCTGAACAACTGACATTTTCCTCTAAATTGTTTCACGCTTTGTTAAGACACTCTGATTGCAATGTCAAGGAAACAAACATAAAGTCTCTAAACAAACAAATCCAACGGGCCCGGCGTGTCGCGTACGATTGCCAACCTTTCCTCAGCATTTCTTTTGCAAGCGAATGTCAGGGATTGAATAACGCTGCAGAGCAAAGAACCTGTCATGTTAAAGAACATGTAAGACTTTTTTTAATGCACACAACATTTTGCTCATGCAAATGTCTGGAAATGAACACAGAGACATCGATTAAGTGTACTGCTTTGGAAAGACTGCTAATGGTAGCTGAAATATACGAATACCAATATGCTGTGGACATTCCTCAGAAAGACATGCACAGTAACACGTATCAGCTCAGGCCCTCCCAAACCCCTACATGCCTGCAAGTATTAGAACGACAGGCCTCAGATGCCTCGGCAACGTCTACTTGTCTGAGACAAAAATGATGGTAAGCGTGAAGCTGGAGGGAAGCCAAAGATGACACGACACTGATCTCAGCACCATTGTCTCTTTTTCAAAGAAAGGTGGGGGGGGGGTTCTAGCTAGCTGCAAAGAAAGCCTGAGGGCAAAGCGAGGAGGAGAGGGACATTCGAGCAGAGAAATACTTCTTCACATCTCTGGAGAAGAAACTACTGGCCAAAGCTCACTCTTGTGCAATGTTTCCACTCTGTGGCAGACGAGAACGCAGTCAAATAGTATCGCAGATGTACCGTGCTTTATTTTCTTCTATATTTAAAAAAAAAATGTTTACAAATGGATGCACTTTTTAATACTTGATGAGAGGAGCTGTTCATTTTAATCCGATTCAAATTCGCTGGATTCAAGATAATATTTTCCCTGGATGATGGACAGTGACCCCTGCTATCACACAAAAGGGTCGCACACATTCCAATAAGATGATCTGAGAAAATAAATAAATAAATAAATAAATCACACTGCTGTTTGCTGAAGAATGAACTCATTCAACTCGCTAAGAGGAAAAGAATTGGATAAGAGTTAACCTGGGTCAATCATAAAGTCGACTCTGAGACTCGGACAAAAAGGAATAACTGGAGTCTTCCTGCAACGGTGACAACAATCGCTCGTTCCATGAGAGCGTTTCTTAAAAAATATGGGACCACTTTTTCTAGAATAAATGTAATTCACAGAAAAGGTCAAAGGTGAACGACGCAAAGACAGCTGCTAA